CTGCTATATGTTTATACCGACGCGAACCAAATATTCAGTCCATTTAATACCGATACGATCAATGTTAGTGGAATTGAAAAAATAAACTCAACATTTGTTGATACGATTTACGATTGTAAATAATTGAATACGTTACAGGTCTGTTGTTATCAAGGCTTCGAGGATTCTCAAGGTTCACTGGCTTAGGCTGCTCGCAGACTTGCGATTTAAATGACGGAAGACATTTAATAAAAAAAACCTGCTATTTATTTAACAAGTAAATACAGCGAGATTTACAGGACTTTTTAGCAAGAAGATATATTTCTAAGTATATAAATATATTAAACAAATTTGTGGTATGACAAAGATTTTGTCTTTGAATCAATTGTGTTCAATATCCATGATGATTATTAAAGTTCCCTTAAAACCACTGATTACTATTAATAATAAACTTTATCGCATCATATAACAATGGGAAGTGTGTCATGGGACTTAACATATAATTTGTATGATTGTGTAATTATAAGAAGCGGAACTGAACTTTTCGTCAGAACTATTACAGGGTTCACATTCGAAAAAAATTATTCGAATAAAGTTGAACAAAAAAAAATAGCACGTAGGAAGTTGAAATTGCAACGTTCTGAGCTGTGAATACAACGAGGCCGTTGTGGATACTCTTTGGATCCTTTTTTTAACACTTCAAATGTTGGCTGGATACTCGCTGACTGCGAAATATAAAATTATTATACTTTATAAAATGGACTAACCGACGAACAACTACTAAATATTTATATAGGGGAGTTATTTAAAATAAATTATAAAGATATGTACTAATAATTATTTTATTTTATTTAAATCAATGTATAAAAGAACAAATAATTTATTCAGAGGTACCAGGACAACATAAAGTAATTAAAACATGATCAATGCAATATATATTGACCAAGTCTGAGCATACGAAGGCTCTTCACAGTCGAGATGCAAGCCAACCGTTCGTTTTGGAACAAAGGCTTCAGTTCTGAGATAGGACACGGAGTATGGTACATGGTGACCTGTTTGAGGTGGTGGGGCGGACACCGCTCTCCTGACTGATGCAACTTTAAAGGGATATATACTTGATGATTTCTCGTAGAAGAAAATGCTTTATAGGTATTAGATTACAATTAATCGTTCTATGACTATACTGTTAGTGATAATAATTACATTTCTTGTAAAAATATACGATTTGTTTCACACTTGTAAGAGTCAACCTTACAAAAAAATTTTTCATTCTATCATAATATCAAATGCATATAACCGTCGAGGAAATCGTGAATATTTAAATATTTGTTGTAAATGAAGCGTATGAGCAATTTTAAAATCAATCAATAATGAACGTTTGTACCGTCAGAGGCGGTAACACAAATGACACAGATTGTTTGAGGATGGAGCGGCCAACGTCCTAAAAATTGACGTGAAAACTGCAAACATCTTGACATTCAGGGAAATCCAGTGGCACTCAGCGGTGTGATACCGCTCACTTCGATAACACGAGGGCCCTCCAGATGCTACGTCTTATTAAACGTGGCCCTTAACACTCAAGACACAAGGGCGGTAATGCAACAGTGAGGTAGACTTTAAGCAACCCACGAACGTGCCTCCAGCAGAAAACTCTATGCGTGTATCCAATTAGGACTTTGGAAATTTTATTTTAGCATATTCGCTTTAATTGGATGTTTAAGTTTTAACAACTGGGATGTGTACCAATTATGGTGAAATCGAATAGGCGTCAAATATATATATATACCAGCTAATGAACCGGCTGGCAGACGTTTCGAAATTTATTTCGAATATTACGAACGCATTCAGTAATAAATGAATGTTGTAATTTTTCTGTCCGTACTTTTATATACAACGCCAGCCGCCGCGCCGTTAAAGGAGGTAACAAAGCAATCGACTGTATAATTAAGAGATTTTCTGCGGATCAAAACGTCGAGGGACTGTTGGCGGGCTCTCAGCTGTGCTTCGCAAGTATTATAAATCCAAAATATCAAAGTTGGATGGAAATAAAACACTTTCTGAACCTTCCCTAATACAACCAATTAGAATGTCCGTTCACTGTTCACTGAGATATTCTTTTGAAATATTAAATATTATATTAACATTGTGTTTTCACAACCGCGAATGGAATATTTATTTTAGACTTTATTTTATTAGAAACATTTTAATACTATACGCAACGAAAATTTATTAAATATTAATACAATAGAATTAATATTAGACACGTGATAATTCGATTTTATAAACATGAATTTATCTTCAAATATATTTAGCTGAAGGTGCTATCAACCTACGAGTTCTTCATTATGTGAGTACGATTAGAACTTTATGTGCCGTACACTAAGTTTCGTTGCAACAATAATATTGCATTGCCGCATCGTATATTATTAATAAAACAGAACGGTACCGAATTTAAATTCTACGTAATAAAGAGCGTCACTATTAACTGTTTAATAAATTTCAAAGTCGACCGGGACAGAGATTTTATATATTATTGAATATCTATGGAGACACTTCATTTTGCGCTTATCTGCGGGCAAAAAATCTGCTGGCCTTTCTGCTTCATTGGCCGTATGCAAATTATCCGGAGACAACCACGAGGGCTGGATTAACATAAAATATTTGACCCACCCCGGTTCACAATTCGAATATTCATGACATAGATATTTTTATCGATATCGTTATTATTTACGATGACGACGTCCGTCACTAGTGATTGTTTTTTTTTTAGTTTCGGCTGGTATTACACTTTTGTAAACCTTATAAAAACGAGTTTTGTAAAAAAAAAAAAACAATTAAGTTATATCAATTTGTTCCAAAAAGTTCACTATGAAGGTTCTATTGTACTTTTTGTCTTATCATAGTTCTCTTAAATTTATTTCCTTAATGTTTTATCAACTGCAGAGTAAACTTTAAAACTGCCGCAATGTTTTTCATAGTGCCGGCCATTCCGTACAGAATTAATTTCAGTTACAAACAACTCTCGCACCCAATACAAGCAGATGTTCCTCAGATAAAATCTAAAAACTAGTAGGTGGTACCTTACGTCACGTGGGTGACGTTTACTGTTCAGTCTACGGATCTTGATTTACCGCTTTCCAATAGCATGGCGGGTTTATTTTTGTGTGCTATGGGATCGTAACGGTTCCACCATTGTTTTTAATATTGTGGAAATCAGAATGATACATGTTTCTATCATATGTTATGAAATTCAGCTCGTATATACAAGAGCAAATCTTTGTCATTACGGTATTCAGATATTAGTCAGTGACGTAATTTAAAGAAAATATCGAGACTTAAAAATATAGATATAACTATTATTTCATTATGTTTGACTTTATAACATTTTTAATTTAGTAATCGTAATTATCTTTGCTTCAAATTATATATATAAAAATTACTAGTAGTATAACACATTTAAATAGTATGAAGAGCGTCCAACTGGTCGGCATAGTTTCATTGTATGTTCCAAACATATTTTATTGTTAATTCCGTTTTTTGTATCATTTTTCCGATACTGTTCGGAAGTTTATCTCAGTTTTTGTCTAAAACAAAAGTAAGACCGCTGCCAGTTTTTTAACAGAAATGGTCATTCGATTTATATGGAGTCTCTTTAGAATCTCTATACACTGAACGTTCTGCAAGCTACATACCTACATTGGATTTACTACAATATGTAAGATATTTTATGGAGTTTTAAATAACTTATATCTTAGAATTCCCTATTAAAAAACTTGGTATGGTATATTAAAAAATGTTTAAGGTAATTCTGACTTAACAAAGGATCCATACAAATTTACAGTCAGATCAATTAAATGGAAACGTTCTTTGGGCAGTAACTTGGGAATAAGTTAGCACTGCACTTGAATTATTGCCAATAATTTGATTCCGTTTCAATAGTCAAAGAATCGGTAGCATTGAGCTCTGTGAATGATTTAGAGAGCGCAGTGCACTTTTTAAATTCTAAGAGACACGTAATAATACCTCTGGAGTGAGACTCAAAGGTCTTAACTGGCTTCAAGACTCAAACGTCGATAGATATAAGAGGATGAGTACACAGATTGGAAGCGAAGTACAGTCGATGACAAGGAAAACTTGGAAGAAACTATATATATATGTGTTTGAGAAAAATGTCCGAACCCCGACTAACATTATAAATGAAGCATGGCACCGAGCACAATGGTGCTGAACGTTTGTTATCAATCATCCCTCATATAAATGTTATTAAGTTTTTTAACGAGAGAAACTGGTTTTAAAACGAAATAAATATATTGCACTCACTTAGAGTAACATCTCTGCCCGCGTAATAAAGTTTATATACGTGTTTCATTTAAGATTACATAGGATAAAATTTAGCTGTCGAAAAATTACCTATGATTATATTAGCTCTATATTTTGTTTATACATAAAAATATTTCGACTTATGAGACACAAATAGACATAAAAATGATGATTTTAAAGTCAGTGTGATAAAATAATTGTGTTTTACGATCGAGATATGTATTTCCTTCACACACAGTCTGTATTGTTTAGCAAATCATTAATCGGGCCAGACGTAAGGACGAGAAAAGCGCGCGAAACACTGGACCACAGATAACGCAGCCATTTTGTCACCAAACAACTTCCGAAGAAGCTTAATGAGGTCGTAATATGAAATAGATTAAATCTAAACTCGAAGGCCGCTCGGTTATTAAATTAATGAACTTTGATTTGTGATCTGTGACAGAAGCTGAGCATTTAACGCTAATATTGAATTAATGATAATGATATTCATACTCAATATGATAATAAATTTATTACGATAATTAAAAACAGCCGCTGAATCTCTGACCCAAATGTCACTGTGCAATAAAAATTAAATATATAGTGGAAAGACAAAAAAAAATGAATTACATCCGGAGATCGTAACGTTCTTTTAAACATGATTAGTTGGTGTTTAATGTGGTACATTGTAATACTGGGCGACTGTTATATCTTCAGATATGGGTCAACATTGTCCAAACGCCTCGTGCGATGAACTACGAGCATTATCGGGGAACGTTTCACAACTGCCTGAATTACTGACCTGGCTTGAACAAAATTCAACGAAAAAACTCACTCTCCATACTATTCCAAAGGATGATATCGAGCCGATGGAATGGCCTATAAAACACGCTCAATGTCAAAGTTGCTTTTACTGTTTTATGGACAGGGAAGTTTACGTTTTGATAGCCACCTTCGATCGAGTCCAGACTGAATTTATAATACGGACTCCGTACTACACTACATATACACTGGACGGTACATACGATGTTATCACTGACACTTATCGTTTCGGGAAATTTAAATCGACGAAAACAAACCTCAGCGGGTCCGTGAGTGAGTGAGTGTCGGCGGACGGCGGCTCACGTGCGCTCATCATACATACAATACATCCAGATAGCGAGGACCGCTCAGACACATCGTTTAATGCACGCTTTTTATATTGTCATTAACCTTCGAGGTGCTCCGGTTTCGAATCGGCAACGTTTTATTTTTGAAACGCGGCAACGCGGTATCAGCGACCGAGACGTTTAACACGTACGGATATCTACATTTGTCTGCACTCACTGGACAGATGTCACCGGCGGCAGAAGAGAGCAGGTCTGCCACGAGCTCCACGGAAGACGGAGCAGAGTTTGGATCGTATTAATTTAGTTTAGTAAATAACCCGGCACGGACGACGAGTTGATTGTTTTTTTGGCGGGAGAGCGCGCCGTGCTCGTGGCGGGCGGCGCGGCGGAACGTTAGCGACGACTGGCCGGCCTCACTGAAAAAGCTCCTTACGTTAAATACATAGAGAACCGATGTGCAATCTATTTATAATGTTAAGTTGGAGTGCGGCACGCGCGTGCAGCTACCGGCCTACTGTAACGTCATCGTATTCGAAGTTAGTGGGTCGGCTGTTGGCGCGGTGTTTATATTCCATATAATAAAGATTATTAAAATCACCGCTTTAAATCTGTCGACGGGCGAGGCTGCGAGGGAGATAATGAGGCCGACAGCGTACAGGCATACAGCTTCATTAGCGATGTTAACTTATTACAAGTTATACGTCACACGGTAATCAAACTGATTTATATGGAACATTTGATATATGGCTTGTAAAACTCGATGTTTTTATGATGGTATCAACCGATGGCTGCTGTCGGAGCCTGTCAAACATTCACATATCAAAATATATAATCTGTCAGCGGTCATCGTCAACAGAGACGTCCAAATATATTTCTCGGAACTATTAAACTGTACAGATACATCCATCATCACTATACTTTTCAACAACTCATTTTCGTAGGTTTAGACTCGACAAAATAAATAAAATTATTTAAAATACATAATTTTGAGTATTGAAATAAATAGGAACATAAGAATAAATAAGAGTGCAATATAATATTGTAATAGTATGTACATATATACTTTCGATTATAAATATGAAAATACTTTCTTTAATATTTGGATGCAGATGAAAAAGTTAGTTCTTTTTTTACCTTACCGCATTCAGGTAAAATATTTTAAATAAATCGATATATACATATTTCTACGACTACGACTGCGTGTATTGTTATTTGAATGTGTCAAATAAAATGTATCAAGAATCAATGATTATAATCTGGGTAAATACTATTAAGTAGCAAATTCATCGGATAAAAGTCTGTCCGTTTGTTGAAGGAAAAGATTTAATATGTCGCTTTAATTATATATAGATAATAATGTTGAATTATAAATGTTGCGTTTCTTTTGAATTGAAAAATAAATTAATTTTTTTCAGAACTTTATATAGACGAGATGAAGATCATATGAGAATAGAAATTTATTACACATATATATATATATATAAGGATAAAATGTTGATAATTACGATGGTTAAATTTTTTAAATCTTGCTTCTATATCTTTCGTAATACAATAAACATAACACAGTAAATCTTCAATATTATTCTTCTCAACTATCAGTCAGACGTTTAAATAGATCACTTTATTTATTTTGATAAAGAAACATCAAAATAAAAGTTCTAGAAATGTTAAAAATACCGTAGGCATTATATTAAGTGCACTCCTCTCTAGGGATGGAGCAATCTACTATTTTTGGAGTAAATGAAATGTTCACGAATGTATTCTGCAATACAGATACAGTATCTGTCTAGTGATATCTACAATGACTGAGTTTAGAACGTTCTAGATAAAATGTCTTTGTTCTTTCAAATTATATTTAATTTTAACAATGAATGTTTCATACAAAAGTATCGAGAAAAAACGAATGATTAAAACATATCGATTACAGTACATACTATGTAAGTTTAAATAAATTATGGTAGATTTGAAATCGAGATATTAATTTGCGATTTAGAACTGTCAAAATTGACAACCACTAATGTCACCTGTCATTAAGTTTAGAATGTGTTAAATAAATATCTTTTTTTAACTTTACTCAAAACCGCTAGAGTATTTTTATATGGGTAATATTTAAATCTAGGTGGCAGTAAATTAAGACATAATTATTGAATTAAAATATAATTATTAAGTAGTTATATTTTATTGTTCATAATGCACACTATTTATATACAGTAATTATTAATACTATACATATTTTCTATTATTTTTTTAACGGAATAAGGATTTCTGGGAAGCTGCGTCTACCATCACTGGTATGTGTTACAAAGTTAATCATCTCTTAAATTTTTTTGATTATCTTTTTAAAGCCTAATTAAAACCAAGGTAAGGAAACATTTGGAAGATATAAACCTAATTAAGAAGCATTTAGTGATTCACACCTTTATTGAGTACGTAAAGACCACATGGCTTTAATACTGAGAACACACAGTCATACTTAAAAACAAATATATGAGGATGAATCAATTTATAGGTAATAAAGTGAACTTTGATTTGGTCTATTGATTGTTATGATCATGATTCTATATGAAGGAGCCAAAACAAATAATAAGCGCACTAGACTCCTCTTTCCCCTTTTAAATGAATTCCTTCCATTTCCTAATTTCTTATACCTATATCTTAACACTTAGGGAAAAATCTTCAGGTTTCTATTAGCTGTAACCATAAGCGATTAGATAGAAAATCTTTTATCTTTATTTTTGTAAAAACTACATAATCCCGATGTTTCGGTTACTTTTCATCAACCGTGATCACGGACAGACGAGATGTGAGTATCTGTCAGTTGGTCTTATTATTTTATCACCTACCGCCATCGATTTCTTAATCTTCTGGCGTACCGCTCTAGATGCTGGCAGAGTACTTACGGTGTGGTCGTGGACATGGGATTTTATATTTTAAAGAAGGGCATCCCAGGTGTTTGATGAAAAATAGAAGAATATTTTTTCTTTATCGACGTAAAAATACATACCATAGTATAAACTGGGAACAAATTTTTGTTAGAACTGTTTAAATATATCCGTTTGTTTGTACCACGATCAAACAATGTATAGACAAAGGAATTAAAAGATCACAAGACTTCGGACTAGCTGACGTTTATAATTACATGTCATTCACAACAACGTTACATTAATACTGAGATTTTTACATGACACACAAAAACTAAGATATAATATTTAGAATCAGCACTTTGAATGCATTTTTTATTAAGTTCAGCTTATAAACATCCAAAAACACCTGAGCTTATACCTTAATTACGATTTTTTATTCAATAAATATCACTCAATTACATTTTGCAATAATTCTGGTACATATCTTTTGATTTAAGTCTCAAAGACATAAGTTATATATGAGAATAGGTACTTCAACTTCCTAATTTGTATAGTAATTAAAGGCTGTACAAATATAAATGTTCCTCCATATAAATCACCTATCAAAAAGCATCAAATCGCCTGTAGACTCTGACTTAGCCGCATCCAGTAATGTTGTCACCACGTGAACATCATAAAGACTATATGGAACTGGTGGTTCACATAAACATATATACTATTCCTGTATTCACGACTTCAGACATCGGCAGTCGTCACGCTTAGTGCTGTCAGATGTGCAAACAGGAATATAGAATATTAAAAGTAGCATAACTATAAAACTTGTTGATTGAAGAAGTATTTGATATTGACGAAGAAGGTTGGTTATAAAATATAAAAATAAATAAATAGTTGAATATTGGTGTGAAGTGGTTTAAGCTGCTTCAATAGGTGGATAATATATTTGAGACACTAGAGTCAGAAATAGCTCGAACATGTTAAATGCTGTGTCTAACTGGTCCGTCTTGACACAGGTGCTCTAGAGCGACCTTTTTGCATATGCAGCCTCTCATGAATCAGGTCGATCAAGACATTATATTACGTCTATTAATAGTCACACATTATTAACCCACTTCGTACCGTCAAAGATTCATACACCTCTGTCGTTTTAATACAGACCTTGGAGCTGAGAGCAGTTTTTCAAACCAATGCCAAAATCATCGATAATCTACTTTACAAAAGGCCCAATCCGTTAAGCCGCACTGAACGGTTTTATGGAGTTTAAATTTGGGCTGAAGACTTAAAGCGACGCTTCGATCGAGATAACTTCATACACAAATGTGAATGAGAGGAGTCGGGGCGGGAGACAGTGTGTTGTGGCTATAACTTATTTATAGAATACAATATAGTCAGGTCATTTAGTATTGAACACGTCAATATATTGTAATGCAAATAATTTTATTTGTTTAACTATAGTAGAGGTTTAATTTAAAATTGTATTTATATGGTATAATATTTTTCTATGGACATTCATGTTCATATATTCACTTCATAGTCAGTCATACTTTTTCTCTGCATTAAATAGTTCCGTATTTTCTAAGTCTTAAAACGTAGTATAATTTTTAATTGTCTTATTAATGTTGGTACTCTGTAGCAAGTTACGTAGCCGTCCGCTACGTCGTAGCTATAGTGACGCTACGCGGGACCTACGACAGTAAAGTTACTTGCTTGCTTGATTCTTATTAACCACTGTTAATTAAACCAATACTTTATTTAATACAATAAATATTCTCTTTTACTATATGTATATTTGATAAATATATCTTTTATCAAACAAATATAAGTTTTAAACGGTATATTGAAAGTTATTTGAATGTAATTTTTATACCAAAATGTCTCGTATCTTACAGATTTTAAATTGTCTTGATTTAAGACAGAAAAGAAATATTTCTTCTTCTCTTTGTTATTAGTAAATAAAATAGTATCAAACAACAATATTATAAGCTATAAAATATATTCAGAATATTTAAATATGTTAGGTTTTTATATTGTAATAACACTTGCCAATCCACGATAGAAGGACTGTACCATAGTGATATTTAATAGAGAGGCCAATCAAAGGACGTGTTCTGAAAACGCATGATGATATTAACATTTTTATTGGGCCGTAAACAGTTATACAATTATAGCCTTTATGACGTACAAATACTGGCTAAAATACTATGTATATAATCACTAATTAACTAATGTGATTATAATTATTGTATGTAGCTTTAATAATGAGAGTAATAGAGTCTATATTTGTTTGAGATATTGTGAGGTCGTACAGAAGTAAGGGGTTAAGTGATTGCTTCTACAGAAGAAATCAATCATTTCTATGGGATATAGATCATAATTATTTTCTCCTTTGATATATTAATACTCATTTTAGTATATATTTGAGTGTTGATAGAGAGTGTGGTTCATATGATCACCTACTTTAATTTCAAATCAATGGAAACATAATTGTATAAAATGATAATTGTAAGTAAGGGTATATTTACTCCAATATATATACTTTTCTCAAGAAATCTTATTTAAGTAGTACGTCCTCGTTTCCTTGAAGCAGTAGTATAACTAAAGTGTAACATTGACTTTTGAATTTGAGACTAACAGATATTTTAGATAAATAGATTTGCTGCTAAAATCAATTTTTTTACCTTAGTTAACGGACCATAAGTGTCTGTAAAGATATATTTTATGATAAACAACAATATTGACCCTTAATCATCCATATGTGATTAAAAAATTAACCTACCTTCCACTTACCTTCATTGAACCTGGCGTCAGCTAATTTAGATGTTCGGTCTCGGATCTAGATCCTAATTATTATTATAACATTAGCTGACCCGGGGGTGGTGATAAAAAAGTAAAAAAAAATGGACTGTTCGTATTTTTAATGCCACATTATAAAAAAATAAAATAAAATTCGTACCCCCATTTAAAAAAAAATCGGGGTGAACAATCCTTAACGCTAAAGGGTATGAAAAATAGATGTTTGCCTACCTTGACCTACTCATTATTCTCACAAAATTTCATGAGAAGCGGTCAAGCCGTTTGGGAGGAATACGGGAACGAGCATTGTGACACGAGAATTTTATATATAAGATTTTTACCTTAAATCAATAGGTCCTAATAAAAAATTAATAAATATATTTTTTTTCTGTAACTTATACCTATACAACAGATACAGCTAGGGAGCTCATTTTAAGTAATGGAATTAATTTAGGAGTCCCCGCTCTTCCACAAACGGAATCAAGTACAATGATAAAACAAAGTAAAACAAGTGGAAACTTAACTGGCATAAGTGTCAAAATATGATTATCATATCAAGCTATAATATACGATATGCTGTATGTTTCCCTAATAATAATAAAAAAATAAAAAATAAAAAAAAATCCAACTAACCTGTAAGAACAGCATGAAGGCGACCCACTGGTAGTATTTCCCGTATCTCCTGGGCGCTGTTCCAGCTGGTCGAACACCTGGGTATGCTCCAGCCTCGCCGGCCACCGTGAAGGTCGAGTGGATCCAGCAGTACGTGTTGAGAACGTCCTCTGGTATGTCCCTGGTAAAACCATGCAAAATCCTTGAATGAGCGCATTTAAATGAAACTAATATTTGTGAGTGACCTTGAGCTAAAAAGGCCCATCGTAAGCCACGTCTCAGTGTAAGTTAGCACTGGCAACACATTGGTCGAAGTCTTTTGTCTTGAGACACTGCGGTATTCTAATATTTTTCGGTTATAACACGCGGACCACGCAGCAAGACCTCGGGACACCGTGAGCGCATTCTGCCGGCATCCAGAGCGGTATGCCAGAAGTTTAAGAAATCGATAGCTCGGTAGATGATAAATAACAAGACTAACAGATATTCACATCTCAACTGTCCGTGATCACGGTTGATGAAAAGTAACCGAAACATCGGGAGTATGTAGTTTTTTTTAAATCTAATATATAAAATTCTCGTGTCACAGTTTTCGTGCCCATACTCCTCCGAAACAACCTGACCGATTTTGATGAAATTTTTTGTGCTTATTTGATAGCTATGAGAATCGGCCAACATCTATTTTTCATCCCCCTAAATGTTAGGGGTAGTCCACCCCTAAATTTTTTTTTTTATTTTTTAGACAAAATTTTTAATTACTATGTTTTTATGATACAACGTACAAAAATACATACAATCCTAAATTTTCACCCTTCTACGATCAACCCTTATTTTTTAATAGCTATTTTAGTAATTTAATCATTTTTCATCTCCGGTCGATAACTGATCAATCGTCATTTAATAAGTTATCCCCGCCAGATATCTACAGGTGTCACTTCTGACCCAGTAAACAGCACGGAGTAGGGATGAGAACGAAGCCGGTCTTCTGTTTCTCTCACACAATTAGACTTCTCTCACTCCCTACACAGTTGTCGGCCATCGTTATTGTTTGTGCATCAAGTGTAGTAGTAACGTTGACAATTATTATTTTGCTAGCTCAGTGTAACTCTCATATTAACTATTAATCATTCCTAATCACTTCAAAACACGGAGATTTATGGCTTTAATAGGTAAACTCCAAAAATATAAATAAAAAAACGTAACAGATATTTCTTGATTATAGGGCGAAACGAAGTTCGCCGGGTCTTCTAGTAATACAATAAATACGTGTAGTAATCCGAAAATATTATGTTTCATTTAACCAAATACTCGCGAAAATCTTAGATCTCATTAATTAAGCCTAATTCATGTTACTATTACTTTATTTCATATTTTAATAATTGTTAATTTAAGAGTTTAATTTAATGTGACAATATCAAACATTAGTCTATCTTTATTAGTTGCAATATTTTCATTATAAATCATCTTCTTCTTCCTGGCAATTTTCCAGATTTAGCCAGGGTCTGCCAAACTGGCAATTTCCTAGCTATAGCCAGGGTCTGCCTTACATGTTGTGAATAGTTTTGGCTAATTGTTTTTACGACTGGCCGCCTGCCTGACATCAACCCTTTTTTGGGAATCAACATTAATCAGTGGTGTCTAAATACTCTTAGAAAATACATATGACTCGGAAAAGTCACATTGGTACTTGCCTGGGCTAGAATTGAACCCACGCCCTCGTGCTTGAGAGGCGGGCCTTTTAACCACTAGGCCACCACTGTCAAATTATAAATGTTCTACATAAATGTCCACTTATCCCTCGTTGATATCTATCTATGAATATAAAATAAATTCCTATATTTTTGCGTCAAATTATTTAAATAAAACAAGTTATTGTTTGCTCCTTATCATTTTCAAATACACTCGAAAAGTTAGATTTTCATCTTTTTATTTTTTCACAAATTCCTATTTAGCCTGATGAATTCAAAGGATTATTTTACCTGAATAATAAAAAAATAATCAATATTTTTTAAAGATCTCGATCGTATCACAAACAGTCATATGTACATACGAGTATGTCTCAATACTCCCGTCTCTCCTCACTGATGATAATATATGATATTTTTGTAACCCAAAGCTCCCCTCCGTCTGGGGATCTCGGTCCATTTCATCAATAACGTTCAGATAAACAAACCTAAATACTATTTCCTTCCTTTATATTATTACCAGATCATTATCTGTCTGTTTTTGTATAATAATCTCAGTTAACCAAAGGACTGCGGTCGTTAGGAGCACACAAGGAAATCCTGAAGTCGTTTAATTTGCAATACTGCACGCTTGTGCAAGAATTGAAGACGACTTATCCGCCTTACTCAGCAGGTGGGATCCACCTTTTCAATGGAACCCCTCAGTGTGTCACACTAACGAAGACCAGCTATTGTGTAGCTTAGCAAGATTGTTCAACGGCCATTAACATACTTACTGTAAAATGATTCGAGAAGCGGTTCAGCTTATGAATTATAGGAAATAAATTACTAGTATTATATAAGAAATATTTAAATCGTGATAAAAAATCTATTAGTCATAAAAAAAAGATTATTAGACACTTAAATTTATTAACATATGTAGATTGTAATAATATTATTATTTCATGAAATACTTACAAGCGACTGTACTTTTATTTTCTGTATGACTTCAACATAAAATATATCGTAAAGATGTTATAATTCTGTTATTAACTTTAAAAATAGCTTTCATTTATTTCTTCATCAAAGTACAGTAGGACCTCGATTATCCGGACTAATTGTTGTCGGTAGGCATCCGGATAATTGAAAGTCCGGATAATCCAATATATGAAGAAAAACGGGCTTTTTGCATATGTACATATGTAGTCTGTACCATACATATGTAATGTTAGGTGTTTATTTAAAACAACAAATACATATGAGCGAAAATCAACGTTTATTAAGAAACTAGCTGTGCCCGCGACTTCGTTCGCGTGGAATAGTGAATATGAGCAGCGTTTGTTTTTTAAATATATACTTATTTTTATTTTGGATCATAATCACAGTCATTTTAAGAACAAGTATAGAAACATAGAATAGCAGCAGAGTATAAACATAGTGTTCGACGTGATTCTTTAATTTGACAGAACTTTTTTATTTATGAAACAATTGACATGAAACAAACTAAAGCATAAGTGAAGCATGCCACAATATATTCGTGAAAACCGCATCTAACTCGGATCAGCCGTTTCTGAGATTAGCGTGAACAGACAAACAACCAAAAAAAAAAAAGTACATACATTTTTGGGTTCGACATCGACATAACAATAACCCCTGCTATTTTTTTTATTTTTATTTTCAATGTACAGACAGCACTTTTCTACAATTGTATCATATGTATAGAAGATTGTACATAATGTACGTATAATTTGCTTACAATAATTTTGTATGTATTTGGTAATTTGCATTAGGTAATCATGAAATAAAATAATTAGTTTAATTTGGTTTAAATATGCAAGTTCTGACATGTTAATGTTAGAATAAACTCGTCGCGATTGGCAGTCCGGATAATCGCGAATTCGGATAACCGAGGTCCGGATAATCGGGGTCCTACTGTATTTATAAAAAACTATGCAATGAATAAATTATCAGAACAGTACGGTCAAAAGCACCGTATACATACGACACCAAAATGAAATCACTATGTATAAAAAATGTGTGGTTGGTTAACGGTAAATTGGGTTAAGATACAACATTTAAGAGATCTTGTATGTTTACGTGGAAACATGCTTCCTTTTTAGACGTAAGAACAGGCAAATAAAAATAAGATTTGCCAAAAAAGCTAAATAACTTTGTGGTTTAAAAACTTATAACATGTGAGAAATTTATTTGAACTATTTTTTCTATCGTAAAGAAGCATCTGTGAGTTAATAAATGTTAAACCTCAATTTTATATTAATATACCTACAGTGTTAGTAATTCCTAGTTTTGAAATAAACAATAATTTAAACAACAATTGGAAACAATGAATTAACTTGTCTCCAAACAAATCTCTTTATATAACAAAGCATTTCTCAGTAATCACGATGTATCTGAATAAAACCTAATAAATAAAAGGATTTAAAGTACAAAATTATACAAAAAGTATAACTATGATATTAAGGGAAATCTAAAAACGATCAGGATAACATTGGTCAAAATATTTTGTATACTAAATAGGTATTTGATATATGTATGTATAAGACGCCGGGACTATTACACTCATTTTCAACAATATAACTTAAATAATATTGTTGCAGATATGTAGCCATATCATACAAAATAAATCAAGTGAATTACACATTTATAAGTATTTCCATAAATCAAAAAATATTTTAATAAAATTTGAATCATTAAAAAAAAAATAATTTCTTATTAATCCATTACAATACCTCAAAACATAAAAATATGTATATCAATTGATTTTTTTATTATTTTTATTTAAGCGCCATCTAGTAACACTATGTAACACTCACAAGAGCCGTCTCAAGGTATCCTACCTAGTGTGTATGCAGTCTATAGGGTTGCCCACGAGATGGCGTGTGGTTAGAGCAGCGCTGGCCGCGAGGAGTGCTGCCGTGGTCGCTCCACAGTGCAGGCGGAAGGCTACGGAGTCGATCTTCGGATTAACACCTTGCTGTTAGATGGAGTTGTGAATATTAATAATAAATGGATAAAACATCTTCTAGAAACTTCTTCTTTGAATTAACATTACTGACATTTTGTTCTGATTAAAAAATCAAACCCCCTGATATGTTCGTATTGACTGGAGGTTAACATATATTTATTTTCTGACAATCAATAACAATTGTGGTCGTAGGAGAAAACATAAATTGAATAGTATAGTAAAAAAGCTATGTTATTTCCAATAATGGTGTGTTGTGTGACATTACAAAAATACCATTCGATGTTACGAAATAATGGCGAAAATTATGTTTATACAATGAAGATTGCATAGAAATATTTACTTTAGAATTGAGTTGCAAGATTTCACTCTAAAACTATTAGTTAAGTACATATGGACGTACACGGTACATACATGTTTTGTACTTTATAATTAATAACGGCTTGAATACCAGGGTCATATTTCGAATAAGATTTTACTTTACTTTTTGTTATATATATCCAGAATACTTAAAGAACAGTTACACACTTAGAGATTGTCATAAGGTGGTCTTAAAATCTTTGATTATTATAATACAAAACTTTTCTGACATCTGTGATAAGATGTTCTCATTGCATCGTGTAGTCTCTCCTGATCACACCTGGTTACACCTGGTCACACCTGGTTACACCTGGTCACACCTGGTTACACCTGGTCACACCTGGTCACACCTGGTTACACCTGGTCAACCCTGATGACTCACCCCTCCAGAGAGCAGCGCATAAAGGCTGGTGAGGATCTCCATGGGCCTGCGAGACTGCGCGAGACGTTCGCGCCGTCGCCACGCGCTCGCGCTGCCCGCGCCGCGCGCCCCGCCGCCCACGCCGCCCACACCGCCCACACCGCCCACGCCGCGCCCACGACGACCCCACGACACACCCGACTCCCTGGACAAATAAGCCATTTATTCATTCCATTAGGTTCTAAGAACAATTCATAGAGGATTATATGTGGAAATAAAATTGCAGTTATGTCACCTTTCGTTTTAATTTTAACTTCATGCTCTTGAAATGTGCTAGAATTGGTTATTTAAATTAGAAAACTAAGAACAAAAAATAAGTAAAGCATTATAAACTGGTCGCGGGTGTGTCAATTGTCAATGTCAATTTAAACATGCTCATGTCAGCTCAGCAAGATTATTGTTTTCGTGTCATCTTCATAATTAACTTGTAGGAAGTTCCTGTTACTGTAGGAATGTGGTTCATTGTAAGTGATGCGTGAAGAAAGCCAAGGAATAAATATACAGAGTTTTGTAACTGTATTGAAGACCAAAAATATTTGAGTCGCGGAGAATATATTTACACAATACATGCAACCTGACAGAAGAAGTCAAGTTGTTACACTAGTGTGAAATATCAAAGTTAATAGCATTATTAAAAATATGTAGTGTGTATTCAAGATGAGTTTTATTCAATTCATGCATAAGTAGGTAAAATATAAATAACTTAATTGACATATGACATGACATATGACATATGACAATGATAAATTTAAACTCTTATTTTCATAGAGGCAAATCTCAAAGACATTATGATGAATATATATTACAATGCAAAATTTTACTGAATTTCATAAGAAATGAATAAATACAAAACTCCTCAACTTTGATTAAATAAATTAAGACTTGTTCCTTGTATACATTAGTTCAACAGAACGAAAATAAACTGTTATTGACACTAATGTAAATACAAGCCACGTCAGATGACAAAAAACATTTAAAAAAATAACATTTTATTTATTAGAACAGAAGTTATTTGATATGGATATATTACGTTTCAATATTTAAAATGATTACAGCAGAGATAAATATTCAGAATTGCTCACTGGAATGAAATTAAGTAAATAAAAATTTTATGACTGTCATCAAGAACTATTTCTGTCAAAACAATTTAAATAATTGTAGTATTGATAAGTTAAAAATGTGGTAAATATATTAAGAATCTCATATTTAAGGAAATAAAATTATTAAAAAGATACATTATTAAAACTTGAAGCATAGAAATAGAGAAAATAGTTGTAGAAAGCATTGGAAGCGTTTAGTGTTGCAAGCGGTATGATTACCACAAGTTTGACTCTTAACTCTAAATTCAGTGCCTTTCATGAATAATATGTAGAAAAAAACTTTTTATAAGCTTATCAACTAAACAAGAACACAAACCAGAGATCAAAATAAACAAAGTTAAGTCATAAAGTTAATGAATTAGTAAGAGCGGTTACAGCGGCAAAAGATTACAGCACTCACCCGGCGAGATCACGCTTATATTAATGAAAACAGAACATTGAACGTACGGGAATATCGTCCCGAACGATTGTCTGATACTGCAGCTTGGTTTTAACTAAAACATATTTAAAAAGGGAAACGGAAAATGTATAGAACGCTCCACGAACGAAGGCATCGCTAGCAATAAATACATAGAAACATAATAAACAGAATTATCATGAACTGGGACTAATATTACGAGTAAAACATACAATCATTTGATATATTTCGAAAGCATAATTCATCCTGAGTTGTAGTTGCTTTAATAAATTTAAGAAATTCAAATATTTTCTAGACTTTTGTAACTTAATTTGGATGATAAATATGACGGTTCAACCCCAAACTGAACGGCGGTACTCATTTATAAGAAAAACGAGCAAAAATTAACATTGGAAGCTGTCCAAGTTGTTCAACGTTGATAAATGAATATTTGAGAGCCCTAACACATTATACTTCTTAGCATTAATCGCACAATTAAATAAATTTAACCGATTTATTTACCTATTAGTATATTTTAATACGATATTTAAAAAACAATGTGCCGTCATCAACAATTCAGGTCAGGGATAAACAACAGTTCTTTTTTTCAACAATTTTTTCAACGTCAATCTATTTCATCAGAAAATGACGTCTTTCCAACGTTTAACAGACAACGAGTTACTGAAATATTTATGTTAAAAACATGAGAAACAAAGAAACGAGAAGACGAGACAAATATTGATGACGGTGCAACGTAGACTGTTTGAAAGATTAGCTGATCAGGAATTAAATCAGTTTTATATATAGATTCTGATCTAACCCGAGTTTTTAACTGTTACACATTTAACGAGTGTTTATTGTGAGACTGTAATGGACAATTAAATGTATGAATGGATCTTTGATATGGTTTACGTTTAAACTTCCGAAGCGAACATCACACGTTCCAGTGTTTTTGTTGAGGTGCAGTAAATTATAAATTAATACCTATTGTGATCTAATTATAGTCCGGTCAGTCTCGTACAGATTTAGTCGGTAACTATCTTTAACTATATAAGACCTTGATCTCGATACTACGGTTTAGAAATACCAACAAAATAATGGAAATAAGCATTGTTAAGAAACATTAAAAATGTATTTAAAGTTTTCGGAGTAAGGATTCTTACGTGTCTAATGTCTATGTATAGAATAAAATTGTTAATATTAATGAATTTTGAAATTTTGACATCGAAGATTTTCTAGACGGTACCTTTTGTTCAATGTTGCCAGTTAAATAAATTTAAATCGCTTTTCTAACACATCATTATGTTGGCAACCCAAATTCAGTTACCATTTTTCAGAATGTAATAGATTAATTTAGTTTAAATACCTCACTGAATGGTGAAGCAGATCTCCATTAACTACCAATATGACTAGTATTACTCACAGAAATATACGAAAATAAATCATGTATATATCAATCGTATTGTGTTATATATAAAGAAAAAATAATATATTTTGCGGCCGCTTGAAAGCATCGTCATGCGAGCAACAGTTAGCAAGCTGTTAATGCAAATCAATACATCATGCTGTTGCTTTTCAAATCCAAGTCACCTGCGGCTATTAACTCTGTGAGCTCGGACTCCAGCCTCGGGACGTCCCCCAGAAGTTTTTCCCATGAGGTGGTCGTCCTGATACCGTCAGCTTAGCGCCTACCTACGAACCCCGTACAGCGCCATCTAGCGAGCACCTACGACAACTGGAAGAGCGGATTTTTTACAAATCAATTTGGATGTTAATAATTTTCATGCATTATACAGAATTTTAGATATTAAGTTTTCAATATCTTAGAAGCGTTCTAAAAACTATGCTTCACTAGATATATATCAAGATTACAGCTGTTAATTTACTGTAATTATTAAATAATTTCATTCCTACATGAGTACGCTATATGTGTAGGAGCGGTTTCAATTGCAATAGGGGTAATACTCTGAACTTGTCCTACTGACTGTTACGGCAGAGATATAAACCAATTACTATTAACAACACTACTCAATATACGTGTCTTTTTCTACAATTCTAATTAAAATAATTATATCACGAAGTACAGTTGTCATTATTTATAAATTAAATAGATGGCGCTGTAACACATAACATACTTTTTCTATCATTATAGTATTTTAAAAGTTCTCAAAACGGTAAGTAAATTATAATTAAACTATGATGTAGTTAAAAAAAGGTTTAAAACTTAAATATAATCATCATAATAATTATAATAATGAATTGTAACTATTGTGGAGTATTGAGCTGTGGAAAGGTTTCTACAATAAGCTTAGTCGCTAAACGTTAGCAGATATCAATTGAAGGAATGTGACGACACGAATAACTGGAAAATAAAAATAACACTAAGTAAAAAGATATTCAATCATAACTATAAAAATGTTAAAAATCTGAATAAACTTTAAGTGATTTTAAAAATGATCAAAATAAAGTGTTATTAGATTTTAATTAATTTGTGCTATTCAAAATTCTTTTACCTATATAAATCTATATTTTAAAAGTACACTTAATTTTTTATTTTATAAGAGTTAATAAAACCTTAACTAAGAGAAAAAAACATTAAAATGTTGCCATGAATAAAAACTTTGAATTGTATTTATAATAATCAAACACTTTATCATTTAAAATAACACAAGCTTTAAAACAGATGCTTACATTTATGACTAAAAATAGAAATAAATAGATTTAAATATCAATAAAATTCTGTAAACATGTAAAAATAATATATTATATATTTTGAATTATAAATATTTGCGTCTAAAAATCCCTAATTCTAATAAAAATATATGATCAACACACTTTATAGTCATCGAATATTCCTACAACTTAGTAAAAGCACAATCCTCATACTAATTATAAGTTTTCGTGTAAGTAACAATTCCCTATCACATTATTGACCTGCTATGTCTCCAAGCGAGGCCGAAAACGTGTCCGAAAAGAGCGAGGAACAGCAGAAACACCACCAGCGTCCATAAGAACATGACTCCCACCGGTCACGAGACACACCGACACGCCGACACCCGGACACACCGACATACCGACACACTCGCCGACATCATACCACTGACACTCGTGACACAATACCGCACGTATTGATTGACAGACACGCAACGCTACCTTCTAAGATATATCGGTTCCGTACAATTTCTTGATAAGTCGCTATATTATTATTCTTACTAAAATGCTGACTAAGAATTTACATGGCTTATAAAAAGCTTATAAATAAAAAAAGGTATTTAAGAATTGATGTAGAATTTGAATATAATATATGTTTCAAAAAAGCTTCGCACAAAAACCATCGTTTTAGTTTATAAACCAATTTTTAAAAATGTTGGACTGTTTGAATCAAACTGATGAGCATGAAATAAATATTATTTTATTAATTTCAATATTGTTTAGTTATAACAAGTCAATGTGGCTAATCCTGGCAGAAGCTACTACTGCATAGACTTCAAAAACAGATCTATTAAGAGCTATTAAGTCATGTTACAACTTTTATATCCACAATATTTCCTAATATACAATTCAACTTGCTTGCATGCCAATTTGAGACAAAAACGTTTCAAAAACCATTTTTTTTTTCATTACTTTTTAACCACTACGCTCATTGATTCTTTTTCTGTCACGAGAACAAAATATAAGCTTAGTCTTGTTCGAAATATTAAGGGTGACTAATACCAAGTTATTTATAAATTTTATTGAATCATGTTTTCGTATACAATCATTAATGTCTTTAAATATATCAAGGGAACAATTTCGATCTCCTAAAATATAAAGAACCATGTCTATTTGTATAAAATAAATATGTTATTTATTTCGTCATTCAAATACAGTTAGAAATAAATTTATGAAAATCGTCGAGTTCTACTCCTAACTTTTAAATGACACAATAAAAATAATTAATTTAGGAATCTAGAAATCCTACGTGAAGTGGTTATTCTTTTGATAGCCAGAGAGCAAATAATAATAACCACAAACGAGCGATCAATAGTTGTTGAAAAAAAATGCACTAGGGTTATAAAATCAAACGTCAAGCCTTACTTTATCCTTAAAGCGGCTTCGGATTAGAAATAATGATGGATGCATATAAAAAACAATATTAAATCACAGAGGATATTTTTCCGTCGACATCGAGACCATACATATTTCTATATTAACAAATTTTAACGCGCGTTGTGCTAATAGATCCTTGGGAAACCAATATCTCCAAGGCCCAAAGGTCATGCCAACAAGGTCAATAAGTGTTACGAACACACTCACTTCTTCGTAGATTTGTACGCGGTGGAAGATTGAGCGAGAGGTATAACAGCTAAATCTCTCTACAACCTTATAAAAGACTTGGATTCATTCATTCTTAGAACGTACTTCAAAGGCAGCCCTAGATTCTTTTCAAATTTGGTTAGGTAGAAAGAGGAGCTTGGACGGTGTAAATGAGCATTTAACGCGCGTTAGATAGGGGCCTCTTAAACCTATACCTGGGTCGCAAGTCCTAGGCAATGTTGAAACTCCTTCCCTTACAATGCAATGCACCCAGCACTCGCACCGTGAATCTATGGAATAATGAGAAGTTTCGTCTCATATGTAATTTAATAAATATCTTTGTATGAGTCTCAATATTAAAAATGTCGATTTTTCTCTGATAGTACTTGTTGTTTTTATTCTTGCATGTAAAATAAATGAATAAAATAAAAATTATGATTGTGTTTGAATATTATTTTAGTTTATATTTATGTTTAAGAAATGTGAAATGTAACCATTGGTAAAAGTAGGCTAAGCTCGTTAGACGGGTGCCTGTCCCTATAGTGAAACGGTTGAAAATGTAAATACATTCAAACCCATTTTAAAACAATACAGAAAATTATCGCAATTTGTACATTATATATTCATAAATAATATATGTCGTACATATGTACATGATAGAGTATAATGTATGCCTTGTTACAAAAATCATTGTTTAAGGTAATAAAAAAGTACAATTTTTCTCGTGAAAAAAAATATTATAGAAATTTTGTTAAAAATCCTACTAACTAAATTAGAAATGTCACGATTTATTTCATCTTTTCAAACTCCTTTTAAAAACATTTTTACTTTAATTTGAAAATGTAATAAAAAAATTATTCCGACTCAATAACAATAAGATGAAAATATGTATAAATTAATAGTTATATATAATATAATATTTGTTAACAGAAACAGGACTTTATTTTTAAGTTATCCCAATTTAAACACAATTGCTGAATGCAAAATTTTTTGTCGTCAAGTGATTCTGAATAATAGTACAAATAGTACAAATTTTATTATATACACTTTGAGATAGTTTTATTTAGTATGAAATAAATTTTGATACTTTGGTATTGTTGTTTTAAACTGTCCTAGTATCAATGTATATAATATATAGAAGACATTAAATCCTCTTCTTTAATTTATCAAATAAGAAATCAATTAATTACTCAGTTTTTTTCATATAGTATATAAAGAACAAAGCCCAATATAATTTCAGGAGTCTTAAATAAAATATCTAGTAAGAAGAATTTTAGCTTGTACCTATTATTTTTTATTTAAAACATAATCTATTGCTAATACGTTCTTAGTATATTAAGCAACGTGTTACCTTACTTGGGAAATAATTTTCACGTCAAAGGGCTATCAAATAAGAGATCCACGTGATGACAAGTGGCTACAGAGACTAAGGACACTTGTTAGTGTTGTGTCAGACTTATTCGCTCACTTTTAAAGTTCTGTAGGTTATTGACTGATGTAAGAAATTAAAAAAACACATCTCATTTGTGTAAATCAATCAAAACCAACAAAATAGACTGTAGAATTCGAAAGTAATATGATTTAAATAAATACAAAGATTATAAAGGACACAAAATTATGAAACTACTTTCATACTTAAACAAAATATATAGAAATATAGAAAGAAAATCCTATTGTGAAAAATGTGTAATATTTCACAAGTTGTAACAAATCAAGTCTTTTGTATTATACTGTAAAATTTTCATAGTGACATCAAAAAGTTTGGTACATTCCTAAACTCGTAAGTGTCTATGTTCGTGTATCTACAATATATATTTATTGTGGTAATAAGAAGACGCTCATAAAATGCTGTTACAAATTTATTGAAACCCACATAGTAGTATCGAATGAATATTATATTGAGTAACTTTTCTTAAAAAATGCATCAATGTTTTTATAGTATTTTAAATATGCTAAAAGATAAAGGAAATGAAAAGTGTTGGGTGAATCTGATAAGTCAAAGATAATAGGATTAAAAGTTTTAATTGCTAGCCGACAACAGAGACTTTGTAGCTAGAAGAAAAGTTAATTGACAGAATATAAATTATTGTCACAAATTTGTTTAATATTGTAATAGCAAAAGTGTAGTGAATTGTAGAGGTATATTGTGTATGATTTAAAGACTTTGTTTATTCTGAATATTTATATGTACATAAGTACTTAAACAATAAACAATTTTATATATTATGTTGATGAATATATATACTTATATATCTATATGTAAAACAAAATCGTTCACCAGACCGTAGCATAAAAAGCGACATAAAATATGGTATTTTCTGTAATACATCGAAAGTTGTGAACGATTGCAGAGCAACGGAAAACGGCAGGAAATTGAATCAGGTTTCGTTTGAGATTCGCGGATAAGTTCGGAAACTGTTATATGTTGGAACGGAGCAGAATACGTCCTAGAGAAAAAGATGACGCGTCAAATATATGGCGTTTTACTACTTCTGTGATTTAAAGTGGAAAGCATTAAAGTTGGCTACGACTGTAGCATTTAAATAAATATCTTAAATCCAAAACATATGTCAATTTTTCAATGGCCATTTATAAATACCGTCTTCTAAAAATTGTTTTCTAAAAATTTAGCACTTACAATTTTGGAGTTTAAAAATATACAACATGATTTAAACGAGCCGGAAATCCCGGGAAGGAAATACAAGCTGTTACATAAAAAATATTACAAGAACCAACGACAGAATTGTGGTTTAAAACAATCTATTTTTATTACCTCCATAAACACAATGTTTTGGTTCATACGGATTAAAATAATACAACGGTTTTTCAGTGACTCTGTCCGTGTGAAATAGACATTTAGTATTTTGAGAAACATAATTTTGAATCTCGTATATTAATAAGAACACACAATTTGTATAGTATCTTTGTACAATATATTTAACATGCCACTTCTAAACTAAAGTAAACGTTAAATTTAAAATGCATTTTTAAATTTGTGCTAGCTCCATTCGCGGTAAAGAATTCCCTCTGCGGAATTTTAAATCGACTGAATTTCTAGAGATACGTGTAAGTTGTTAAAATAAAATGAATATAGGCAGTTAAAGTGAATGTCGCCGTTAAAAATGGTCGCTTTCAAGATCGTTTTGTTTCTGGCTGTCGGTACGTTATGTACGAACCAACAGGAGGTAATTATGAGTATTCGTTATGACATCATCAAAAAAATATCCATTACTGTTCGTTATCCTTCATGAAAAACGTATATTGGAGATTTATAGCTAAAAATATGTAGCAATAAAAATACACAAATGGCCATTGAAGAACACAATCGAATATATATTGGAAAGGAGAAACTTACAATAGACGTAAGATATAACGAATGTGAACAAGGCTCGTGGAACGTCTCCAAGTGTCAATGAGGGCCGAGTGCTGACATGTCAGTCTCGGTCGCCTGCACGATGGAATACTTTCATTGATTTTTATTATTGATTCCTTTCCCTCATGATTATTACCTTGGAAGACTCAATTTGTTTAAAGGAAAAGGCTTATCAAACGTAATTACGCGAATACACGTATATCAGCTTATAAAAAAACTGTCACTACACTTTATTTATCATCAATTATGGTTTAATTTCATTATATTTTCTTGAGTGATACTTTCCAGAATTTCTTTCAAGAAAACCGTCGCCTGTCTAAAGCTATAGTAGAAGCGATGCAGGACTCGCATTTCGACCAAGAACTACTCTTCGATCTGAAGAAAGAAAATCAAGTTTATTTAAACCGAACGATGTCCCTTGTTATAAAATATATTGTTAAAAGGTATGAATATAAAAATATAATCTAATAAAAACATGTTCGAACTTTGAACAATTCTCTGTAAAAGAATAGGACTATTGACAAGAAAAATCGAAATTTATAGAAATACATACATACATGTTAAGAGGACATTCATTTTTCAATTCTCATATGTTATTTCTTTATCAACCGATAGATTTGATAAAAAATGTATATCAGAAAAAATAGATGTAAGCTTTCTTCAATTTATTATCCTCCAATTAAGAAGTCAATGTAAAAGAATTACCGTCAATTAATAACCTTAGATTACAATTACAATAAGGCTTACAATTACAACAGAAGAAAGCTAAATATTCGTTCAAATTGACGCCTTATAGTATAGCAAAAAACGGTCTATTCTGTGGTAGTCTCTATAGTATCGAATGCATTGGTTTCAGGGAAGTTGATAATTACCGGTCGCGTCGTACGGATGCCATCAGCCGCAGGGTGTACTCCTCGCTCGTCATGAAGCTTATTGACATCGCCAAGGTGACATCGGCTATTGTATGAAATACGCTATCTTTGTTGAGATTAAACAACAATTACATTTTTTTATATCTCAACGAATTCGTAGGATATCCAATTTAATCAATTGAATTTCTGTTATGTTTTGTTATGTGATTTTCTATTCTTTGGACAGAAATTGGTCATATTTAATGTGATACACCGAATATTTATACAGTTTCCCTGAACGCCTTTTTCAATTAAAATAGTATTATCAGTGTAAACATAAAAAGTATATTTATATTAATACGTTAATTCATCAATCCTGCTCATTAATTTCAGTATTGAAACAAAACAGTAATAAAAAGAAATTAAATCGTATCGTTTGAAACGTCTATTGCATTTTAACGACTACGTCAAACACCGAACAGGATTTTAGAAAATTTGCTTAGTACTTTCAGGAAATAGAGTATCAAAAATGTCTATATAATATTTGTTTATCAGGATCTTCCTCGTAACACGAGCGCCGCCAGTCGTATTGACACAGCTCATCGATACTACATGTCTGTGGAGTCACGCGACATGCATGACCAGATGGCAGACGTGCAGGTCTTCCACGCTTGTGCCAGGCTCTATGACGTCATGTTCACTGTGAGTATATTATAACACAAAACGAACAGTCAACCACAGATAACGGATATACCACCTCAAGAGGATGTGCTTTTCAAATTTGGTCAGACAAAGAGAGGAGCTTGGACGGTGGAGGTGAGCGTTTAACGCGTTAGATAGTGACCTTAAACCTGCACCTGGGTCACAAGTCACAGGCAATGTTGACGCTCCTCTTCCTATAACGCGATGAATGAACTATATTGTTTTCTTCAGGCTCCCAGAATCATCGCTGAATTGGGTGTCTTGGAAGACTTAACTCCTAGAAGCCTATTGAAAAAACTCAGAGAATTGGAAATCAAGCCTGTACACCTTGGTGTCGCGTTGCTCATTCAGGTTTACTATAAATCAATCAAAATTTAGAAACGTAAGCAAAATAAATATAGGATATATTTTAAAAAGGTAGATTAGTACCATTCAACATAACCACGCTTCCTGGAGGCGCTGTAAAAGCTGATAGAAGTAGCAGCAACTTTTCTTCTCTATATCTCAGTCTGTTATAATTATTTTTATAATGAATGAAAAACTATACATTTAAATGTAACTACAAAATTAAAATGAACTAAGGAATTCCAATTACTTTAAATTTTAATTTAATTTAATGTCATAAATTTATTACAGTACCACCTTCGAAGCACCATAAACTTCGCGATACGCTCCAATGCATTAGAAGTTCTGTCTACCAAGCCTCAAATGGTTGGACCTCAAGTCATAGACATGCTGAAGGCTATAGCAGCAAGGTTACTCCCCGTGGCCGAACTATTAGATATACACTTGGCACACTCCAGTCCAGCCTTCAAGGATACTTGCCCTTCCACATGGCTTGGAATCGTTAATAATAAACAACCGTAAAATAAATATATGTCACCAGAAATACTCTTACTTATTTCGAAGTTTAAAAACATATCTGGAGACCGCAAATGATAAATATTTAAACGTAAATAAAGTTGTGCTGAAACACCATTTGCATCAAGTTTTGATAAAAAGTTAAATTACTCTGTCAGTCTGTCCAACGCGAACGTTTGGAAATATGTATAACCTGTTTTCAAGGCACCTTCTAAAAACATATATATTTACAATATGTTTTTAAAATATCAAATTATATTATGAAGAAAAAAGATATACACATCTCTAATTTACAAAAGAAAAACGTGTATTTTAAAACAAAACTTCTGTCAGATTTATACCGTTTCAACGATCCACAATTTGCAATTCATATGAGCTGCATAAATAATTTTGTAAGTCGGTTCTTTAAAATATATATTATTAGTTTCTGGGGGAGTGGAATAAAGAGCATATAATATGCAAATTCAATAAGCAGTGTTTGGCTTGAGCCCAGCAGCAAATCTGAAAGGCCTTTGAGATCCTTTCCGTGTTATACTTTCCAAGGAAGCTCGACCTTTGAGAGCAAAGAATCTCTGTTACAATATTAAAGAAGTGCTCAAATTTAATAAGGTTCTATACTTCAGGAAGCAAAGCTAAATATCCAATTTGTTTGTTTTTGTAAGTAAAAGTTTATAATAATAGTAATAATAAGATACTTTTTGATTCATAAACCGCTTTATAGCTATTTGATTGCCAACCGTGGCTAATCCGAAATGACACTTAAGATCATAGACATATTTCATCACGTGCGCGCACGCATGGCTTTTTATTGTACAAATAGATTTATTGCCTATAAAATATAATGCGTGCTGCTGTTACGCTTGATGTTCATATTTAATATGAGCCACGAAACCAGCGCGGTGTTTTATGGTAAACTGAAACATGTACTCACTATATTCAACAATACTTGCTACCTAATTTATATTGGTGCAATTTAGTGGCCTTTCGTGAAATACTATCCATTTTTTTTTTAGTAATCAATACATGGATTTTAATATTGTTTTAATTGATCAAGTTATAGTCAAAATTCTTGATGGGTTGATCTATAGATCATTATAGATCATTAGACTTATAAGTCATTTTAAATCAGATATGAGAAAATGAATTATCTTCTATTTTAATTTGTATCAGAAAATGAATGTAAAGTTAAATGTTTGTTTTCAAATCGTTAGTTCCATAGCTTCATAGTAAAGTTATCAATTACGCTGCGCACGCGCAGATCGCGATTTACGATCGGCATCTCAGCCGTGCGTATTTTTATAACGGATTGTTTGTTACCTCTGACGTACGTTATTATTTATTGGTGTTTTATATAATTAAAATGAATATAGGCAGTTAAAGTGAATGTCGCCGTTAAAAATGGTCGCTTTCAAGATCGTTTTGTTTCTGGCTGTCGGAACGTTATGTACGAACCAACAGGAGGTAATTATGAGCATTCGTTATGACATCATCAAAAAAATATCCATTACTGTTCGTTATCCTTCATGAAAAACGTATATTGGAGATTTATAGCTAAAAATATGTTGCAATAAAAATACACAAATGGCCATTGAAGAATACAATCGAATATATATTGGAAAGGAGAAACTTACAATAGACGTAAGATATAACGAATGTGAACAGCGCTCGTGAACGTCTCCAAGTGTCAATGAGGGCCGAGTGCTGACATGTCAGTCTCGGTCGCCTGCACGATGAAATACTTTCATTGATTTTTATTATTGATTCCCTGCCCTCGTGATTACTACCTTGAAAGACTAAATTGGTTTAAAGAAAAAGACTAATCAAACGTAATCGCACGAATACACAAATATCAGCTTATAAAAAAACTGTCACTACACTTTATTTATCATTAATTATGGTTTAATTTCATTATATTTTCTTGAGTGATACTTTCTAGAATTTCTTTCAAGAAAACCGTCGCCTGTCTAAAGCTATAGTAGAAGCGATGCAGGACTCGCATTTCGACCAAGAGCTACTCTTCGATCTGAAGAAAGAAAATCAAGTTTATTTAAACCGAACGATGTCCCTTGTTATAAAATATATTGTTAAAAGGTATGAATATAAAAATATAATCTAATAAAAACATGTTCGAACTTTGAACAATTCTCTGTAAAAGAATAGGACTATTGACAAGAAAAATCGAAATTTATAGAAATACATACATACATGTTAAGAGGACATTCATTTTTCAATTCTCATATGTTATTTCTTTATCAACCGATAGATTTGATAAAAAATGTATATCAGAAAAAATAGATGTAAGCTTTCTTCAATTTATTATCCTCCAATTAAGAAGTCAATGTAAAAGAATTACCGTCAATTAATAACCTTAGATTACAATTACAATAAGGCTTACAATTACAACAGAAGAAAGCTAAATATTCGTTCAAATTGACGCCTTATAGTATAGCAAAAAACGGTCTATTCTGTGGTAGTCTCTATAGTATCGAATGCATTGGTTTCAGGGAAGTTGATAATTACCGGTCGCGTCGTACGGATGCCATCAGCCGCAGGGTGTACTCCTCGCTCGTCATGAAGCTTATTGACATCGCCAAGGTGACATCGGCTATTGTATGAAATACGCTATCTTTGATGGAATTAAACAACTATTTAATTTTGTTTATATGGCAACGAAGTCGAAGGAGATTTGATTTAATTTATTGAGATTCTGATGTGTTTTGTTCTGTGCTTTTCTGTTCTTTGGACAGAAATTGGTCCTGTTTAATGTGATACACCGAATATTTATAAAGTATCCCTTATCACTTTTTTCAATTAAAATAGGGTTATAAGTGTATATTAAATTATACTTATACATATAAAACGTTAATGCATCAATCCTGCTCATTGATTTCAATAACAAAAATCAATAATAATAACAAATTAATTCGTATCGTTTGAAATGTCTATTGCATTTTAACGACTACGTCAAACTACGAAAAGGATTTTAGAAAATTTGCCAGGTACTTTCAGGAAATATAGTATCAAAAATCTCTATATAATATTTGTGTATCAGGATCTTCCTCGTAACACGAGCGCCGCCAGTCGTATTGACACGGCCCATCGATACTACATGTCTGTGGAGTCACGAGACATGCACGACCAGATGGCAGACGTGCAGGTCTTCCACGCTTGTGCCAGGCTCTATGACGTCATGTTCACTGTGAGTATATTATGACACAAAACGAACAGTCAACCACAGATAACGGATATACCACCTCAAGAGGATGTTCTTTTCAAATTTGGTCAGGCAGAGAGAGGGGCTTGGACGATGGAAGTGAACGTTTAATGCGTGTTAGATAGTGACCTTAAACCTACACCTGGGTCGCAAGTCCCAGGCAATGTTGATGCTCCTCTCCCTGCAACGCAATAGACCCAGCACCCTCACGGTGAATCCATTGAATGCTAAGAGTTTTCGTCTCTTTTAATAAATTATGTTGCCGTTAAATTTACATTGTTTTCTTCAGGCTCCCATAATCATCGCTGAATTGGGTGTTTTGGAAGACTTAACTCCTAGAAGCCTATTGAAAAAACTCAGAGAATTGGAAATCAAGCCTGTTCACCTCGGTGTAGCGTTGCTCATTCAGGTTTTTTTTCACTCTTAAATCCCTCAAAATGTATACACAAAAATATAAGGTAGATTTTAAGAAGGTAGGGTAGGTCCCATTCAGTGTAACCATCCTCCCTGGAGACGCTGTTAAAGCCAATAAAGCTAATAGCAGTCCAGTCTAAAAAAAGGTAATTCAATGCTATGCTGCTATACGAGGTAAATTGCTACAGAAATCAATTTTGTGTATCTTCCCTATATCACAGTTGTTTATAATTATTTTTATAATGAATGAAAAACTAAATATTTAAATGAAACTACAAAATTTAAATTAACTAAGAAATCCCAATTACTTTAAATTTTTAAGTTAAATTTAATGTCATAAATTTATTACAGTACCACCTACGTAGCACCATAAACTTCGCGATACGCTCCAATGCATTAGAAGTTCTGTCTACCAAGCCTCAAATGGTTGGACCTCAAGTCATAGACATGCTGAAGGCTATAGCAGCAAGGTTACTCCCCGTGGCCGAACTATTAGATATACACTTGGCACACTCCAGTCCAGCCTTCAAGGATACTTGCCCTTCCACATGGCTTGGAATCGTTAATAATAAACAACCGTAAAATAAATATATGTCACCAGAAATACTCTTACTTATTTCGAAGTTTAAAAACATATCTGGAGACCGCAAATGATAAATATTTAAACGTAAATAAAGTTGTGCTGAAACACCATTTGCATCAAGTTTTGATAAAAAGTTAAATTACTCTGTCAGTCTGTCCAACGCGAACGTTTGGAAATATAACCCGTTTCAAGGCGCCTTCTAAAAATATATATTGACAATATGTTTTTTAAATACCAAATTATATTATAAAAAAATAAATACATATCTTTCATTACAAAAGAAAAACGTGTATTTTAAAAAAAAACTTCTGTCAGATTTATACCGTTTCAACGATCCACAATTTGCAATTCATATGAGCTGCATAAATAATTTTGTAAGTCGGTTCTTTAAAATATATATTATTAGTTTCTGGGGGAGTGGAATAAAGAGCATATAATATGCAAATTCAATAAGCAGTGTTTGGCTTGAGCCCAGCAGCAAATCTGAAAAGCCTTTGAAATCCTTTCCAAGGTAGCTCAACCTTTGAGAGCAAAGAATCTCTGTTACAATATTAAAGAAGTGCTCAAATTTAATAAGGTTCTATACTTTAGGAAGCAAAGCTAAATATCCAATTTGTTTGTTTCTGTAAGTAAAAGTTTGTAATAATAGTAATAATAAGATACTTTTTGATTCATAAACCACTTTATAGCTATTTGATTGCCAACCGTGGCTAAACCGAAATGACACTTAAGATCATAGACATATTTCATCACATGCGCGCACGCATGGCTTTTTATTGTACAAATAGATTTATTGCCTATAAAATATAATGCGTGCTGCTGTTACGCTTGATGTTCATATTTAATATGAGCCACGAAACCAGCGCGGTGTTTTATGGTAAACTGAAACATGTACTCACTATATTCAACAATACTTGCTACCTAATTTATATTGGTGCAATTTAGTGGTCTTTCGTAAAATACTATCCATTTTTTTTTAGTAATCAATACATGGATTTTAATATTGTTTTAATTGATCAAGTTATAGTCAAAATTCTTGATGGGTTGATCTATAGATCATTATAGATCATTAGACTTATAAGTCATTTTAAATCAGATATGAGTAATAATACATTTTAAATTCGTATAACAAGATGAATTAGCTACTATTTTAAATATTATTGCAAAATGAATGTAAAGTTAAATGTTTGTTTTCAAATCGTTAGTTCCATAGCTTCATAGTAAAGTTATCAATTACACTGCGCACGCGCAGATCGAAATTTACGATCGGCATCTCAGCCGTGCGTATTTTTATAACGGATTGTTTGTTACCTCTGACGTCCGTTATTATTTATTGGTGTTTTATATAATTCGAATGAGTTCAGTACTTTTGATGTATGTTTGTTCTTTTAATGATCTATATGGTTCTTTTGGATTGAAATTTATACTATGTTAATATTTTAGATTAATTCGTTACTAAAAAATAATAATTATAGACTAGAATGGGTTATGTATGTTATTTTTATAACCAGAACAATTAGAAGGTATAGCTCTGTTGTAATTGTAGGGAGTAAGAGAGGTGAAGAAGAGATTTAGTTGAGAAGAATATGGAAAACAGAAGTAACATTACCATTCCGTACAGAAACTCGTGTAACACGTTTAAAGGAATTATTATCTTTTGATATTCCGTAAATATAATGACTATACCTATCATTTTATAATCATATAAAATTTTATTCCCGTACCAAAAAAAGCCATCGGAACTATTACCTTGACACGTATCCGTGTCATAGGACTTCATTGACGGCGCGCCATCGATTTTCAGGTCTCATTAAGCCAGCCCACTGACTGGAATGTTTAACACCAGTTCACCCCGCGTTTACCAAAACACGACCACTAAATTGTGGGGCGTCTTACATTCAGCGCATTTAAAATGGATATGACACTTTTACGAAGCATTTTATTATTTACACTAAACTTTTTTACTGTCAATAAATTTTATCTAAGCGACGTTGAACTTGACTGTTCCCGATAAATATTGTCGTCATACGCGACATTAATATTTTGCTTAAGCCTCTTGGCCTTGTAAGCTTATAAGAACGTTTACTTAGGGCTTGCTAACACATACAGATAAGTCAGAGTTGACGACGTCATATCTGTTTCATTAAATATTTTGTTTGAATCGAAAGTAAATTTAACCGATACATATCATGACAAATATTGAACAAAAAAAAATTGTGCTAGCTTTGATTTTCCCTCTCCTAAAGGTTTCTTGTCAACATCCACGAGTACAAATTCATTAACCATTCCAATAGAATTAATATTAATAATATATTGCATTCAGTGGACTTCATAAGAAATAAGGAAAAAAAGAAAATAAATATATTCTCTAAAAGGAAAAAGCCATATCCAGAATATCCTAGTATTTGGTAGTGTACAACGGGGGAATGTACCGCCGACGACGATTGAAAACAAAACGAGGCCCTGGCGTTTGACACGAGCATAATGTTTCTTAAATTCAAGTTAAATATACATACTTACGAAACAACGGTCTCATTAAAATCTAATCCAAAAACAGTTTTAAACGATATTTCTAATAAAACGTACACTAATTAGCATAGGTATAGAACAACATTTATAGATTTTAAGTAGACATGCGATTGGCTTCGGAGGTTTAGCCCAGATACGAGGACGCGAGCCATCTACTGTAACATTGAACTAATTTATAATACGCCCCCGCTACTACATATAGCAAGCATTTCCCTGTTTGATTGTGTTCCATCTGTACATAATATATTTGAACATATATCACTATATATAACATAACATTACAATTAATATGTTCCCAATTTCCTTTTCCAAAGTTTGTTTTAATCTTCTGTGTAATTTAAGCAACATACCATCCTATTTTGATTATTACGTTTGAGTTAAATCTATTATCGCCTTAAAAATGTTTTATCTACTTTCCTCAAAAATAAATACGTAATATACCGTATGAATATTCATTTGTATGACAAATTGATTGTAGTAATAGGCATGGAGTCGAACGATTATAGATTTGTTCAGTGACCCGATTGTTACGACGCTCTGTTTCACGTTCACCTTTGACACGATGTAATTTACATGATCATATATTTGTTTAATATTATATGAATACTCGCGAAAGTTTTAGATTCTCATTAAACACTGTATTGGTTAGTTTTTCATTATTTTAATCATTTCGATACCTTTTTGAAAGGCCTTGTGGAAGCGTCTAAGAGATAGATCTGTTATTTGTCATCTGCCGCCAGCTATAATCAATTTTCTTGTAAATTATCCTAGATGAACAATAAGGGACGGTAAGGTGGTTTATTAAAATATAGTAAAACAAAACCATTTAAAACTGTATGTAGAAGAAGACATTACTAGTGTAATATTGATAATTAAAACATATTAATTAACCTTCACGATTTAATATTTCTTACACAAATATAATAAATAAACAAACATGCAATTTACGTTGAAATATTTTGTAACTCTTCCTACACCAATTATAACTTAGATAAACCGTAAGAATTGAAATGTACTCGTATTCAGAAAAATGTTGAAAAGGAGATACAACAAAAATATTTAAATTATAAAAAACAGTTGCATAAAACTTTAAGTGACATTCCGTTTTACTTGTAATATACATAAATGTTAGAGAATACTTAAAACTTTTAGGTATACTCATAAAAATATATTTATTTCTTATATCCATAATTAATCTAGTGATCTGAGTGATCAATTTATACTGATTCTGAAAACCATTTTGTACCAATATTTCATAGATCTGTCTAAAAAAATTCTATACAACTCATACGAAACATATATTAAGTAGAAATGACTTGTTAAATATTAAAACAGCTAGAAAAATAAAGACAAATAAACCATTCAGTAAGTATTCTTAGTAAAACTTAAAGTATTGAATTTATAAATGTACTGTGACCTCCGTACGCGAGGTTCTCATTTATTTTTGTTGAACCCTAATCATTATCATGATCCTTTATCCCCCACTGCATTTGGAAACTGTGAACCAGCAATTTTTTCCTATAAATAAGGTCCCAGGATTTATTCTCGCTGACTTCGACTAATCTCGCTGACAACTTTCATAAATTTGGTTCTACGTCTTCCTTGGCCCGCACTTTGTACTTTAGTTTCGTAATATTTCTTTGTTAGTGGACAGTTTTATATAAGATTGAAGGGGAATTGTAATTAGGCCGATGTTTTCGTATGTAAACCAATTACCGAGATTTACATGAAATAATATTTTACATTGTATCCTCGTGAAATATTCGAGACGTTTAAAAATGCTTAGCGCTGAAATTAAGAACAGTTAACGTGAAAACATATTTCAAGTGTAACATTAAATTATTAATTTCCTGACAACCTAAATAGGCTTTTTAATTTAAGCATTACCTAAATGTTTTAGGATAAACATTATTTAATGTAACACGAGCCGTTGGAACAGAGAACAAAAAGGAAAGTCATATTTCAGTTTTGCTAACTTTACATTTCGGATTGACGCTAAAGCATTTCAGTATAACTTTGTGAAACACAACATTATCCTTAAATGAACGAAAACAAAACCAGCAGAAATACTAACGAAATACAATAAACACTGTTTATCTGAACAAGTTGTTTAAAATCTACACAATAGTTTTCAGTTTGGTCAACTGCGTTCCCTTTGTGAGATTTTACAATGTGCTCCGTGCATACTAATGTACTAGTGATTTTTTTATTTAGGAACATTTATTTTTTATTTCATTACTATTTTTATTAATGGTAACATTTTTTTCATCCTCTATAATTAGTTTATCATAAATAATAAGATAATTTAAAGAAAATTGTTCAGTTTCTGATTGAACCAAAAATTTCTTAGATCTTAGTCTTAATGACACAATATACACCACTATACCCATGTCACTCTCATTGACAGTACGGCGTCCATTTGGCGCGCAAACTCGTGTCAGTTTGACAGATTAGATGCCGTCTGAGATAA